GAAGGTGTGCATTAAGGGTTAAATATAATTTATTCATAATTGTTTATAAAATATTCAATCATCTCGGAACATTCTGGTGTATTCACCTTGTGTATTCAATTCTCATGTGAATATTTATGTTAACATATGCTGGGGCAGAACGTATTTGGAGATGAGATCATCGATCCTGTTGTTGGGTTCAAGGCCGATTGAGACCGCTGTTCTTACTTTCGCTTCTCATAGCTGCTGACGGGAAACGCCGGAACGTAAATTATTCCTCTTCGATCTTTCCCGCTTTTTTTCTATATCCTTCCACTCATGGTCGACTACATTCCTACGGGATCAAACCTGTAATACACATACAATTTTTCAGATCCCGTGTAATTTTGATTCAATGATTGTTTAAATTGAATACTTTTTTATCATTTTATTTTTAAACGTATAGCTTCTGTAATTTAGAACTTGTTTTTGGCTTTATTTTTGACTAGAATCATAGTTTAAAATCATATACCAGTTTTATATATTTTTTTACATAGTTTTATGAATTTTCAGATAGTTTAATTTTCTAAATAGTTAAATTCTTAAATCAGCAGGGTTTGAAATAACCAAAGTCAAAATAAAAACGCATAAAACCTGATAAAACTAAAAAAAAATCCCAAAAAATAAAAACCCATTTAGAAATATAAGTATTTAGAACAGGACTCAATCTTCAAAATAAAAGTAAACAATAAATTCAAGGCTAATGAGAGTCAGTACAGAAGGAGGTGCGCAACAATTATTAAATTATAAAAAATTACTTCATTACACAATATCTTCTTTATTTTGAATATTTGAAATCCTCATTAGGATTTTTTTTTTTAATTTTTTGGGGTATTTATTGAGTTTTATCGGGTTTCATGCGTTTTTATTTTTTATAGTCCACTAATGATTAACAAAATTCGCTATTCAGTTAATATAATTTTATTATAAATCAATTTCACTTTGGTTTAATTTATTAATTATTATATTAGACGTGTATATATATATACACACATTTGTAATACGGAAATATTTTATATATAATTATATATGTTTATATATATTTATATATGACGTTCTTATATGGAAAAAATGTTTTATTTCATAACTTGTTAATAAACTCAATTTTTCATCTTTAATTATCGTTTCGGCTCCTCTTATAATGTTCACAACGATTACTATTCAAGTCCGTCATAATTGGAACGCTCCTGATATTATTGATATAAAGGCAGGTCATTACCTACGCCGCGCAGTCGTTACCACCGAACAGCGCCATGCCCCCGCAAAATCTGCTATGCAACCCGTCATACTGCCTAGTACGTATCCGTAACACCCTGTACATACATACATATAATGGCCCGTATTCAGAATGATGTTAGTGCGCTAACATACTATACTTTACGTCACGCATATTATAGAATTTCAGAGATAAAAGCGCGTTCTGAATACGAGCCAATATGTATATTGCCTACTGCACACTGGACGCTATGAGCGATGAACGACGAGCGATATCCAATAAAAACTTCGCTTTTTCTCACGTGACGACGCAAAGCAAAGCTCTCATTGGATATCGCTCGTCGCTCATCGCTTATCGTGTCCAGTGTGCAGTAGGTATATGTCAAGAGATATTATGTACTACACCCACTACACTCGGGCTTTGTTCGTTTTTGTAATGTGTAAATCTATTGAATTACCTAATAGTGACTTTTCTCAAATGAAAATAATAATGAAGACGTCTTCTCCACACACACACACACACACACAAATGATTTCTAACCGATTTCATTCATAAAATATATTAAATACAATCGCTGTCTGCTAACTTGACGCATGATAAAATTTGTCAATAACAAGGAAAATACTATTACCCAAATATTTAAAATTTCCCAAATTTCCCGAAACGATTCCCAAATATAGACACAAATAAATCAGAATAATTCAATTGTCTGCAATCTTGTCAGTGGTCTCTAGTGATCCTTAATTGTATATTGATCCGTTTTGGTTACAAAGATCAATCAAGTCAGTAAAAGTTCCTCGATTGTTGACGAGAAACTCGTGTAGTCAATTTTTGATAAAATACTTGGTCTGTCAATCGTTTACATTCATCGTTGTGTCCAGTGATTTGAAACGTGATTAAATAACTTCATAAATGCAAGAATTTGCAGTGGTATTACTATTGACTTACTTTTTGAAATTGCGAATATGTAGTTTTGCGATCCACTATTTTTAGAGTCTTTAAAATAAACTAGCGATATTGTTCCAACAGTTAACAAGAGACTAATATGATAAACGTATGTCACTGTTTTCGATGTATACATATATATCTAAAATAAACATTTGTGTTGTCTATGTATTCGTTGGAACTAACGATTGTAACAAATTAAAATAAGATTAATCATTTAAATATATCTTTATGTATCCTACTGCGGCTGCGAAAAAATAAAGTTTACCATGGGGACGAAAACCCGGAACGGAATAATTCTGATTGATTAGCTCTGTTTCCTTTTCGTTATTGTTCCATTCCGCTGTTTCTTTCTCCATTGGGACGCACCCTTAAAATTATTCTTAGAACTTAAATATAACAATAAATTATAAATATTGATCAAAGACTGCAGATTAAATATACGAAAATTATGTCATAAATAGTGTTACGTCCGCCGGTAGTAACAATTGAAATTATATACGAAAATTGTAAAAATAACCCTATTATTCATATCCCTTAAAAAACCCTTAGTATCTTTCGCTAGCTGTGACAAACTCCTATCTACCTCCGTACAATGTAGGGAACAAGAAGCTAAGTTATTTAATACAGGAAGTGAGTGATTCGAGATCGAAATCCGCTCATCAATATAATAGGCAATTTATAAATATTACTTTCGATACACATAATAAGATCGAACGTTAAATTTAAAGATGAACGAAAGATGTCACCATTATCGAATTTGGAATTTAAAAAAGTCTATCAACCTCGATCGAGTTCGGAAATCGCTCCTTTTAAACTGCATGTTTGATTGTCAATAAAAAATATGTACTGAACATTTTAGCCCCCTTTACAGATTCACTAAGTTTCATTAAAATCGAAATAGGACACCTGAAGAGCTGTTAAGTAGATAAATATTATGAAAGTAGAATTATTAGAAAAATTTTATATGTATAAATTTAATACAAATGTTTATAAAAAAAACACTTTTCATCCTTTTTAAGTTTTTTAAATTTTAAAATATGATCTAATTAATTGCAGTTATTTAATATATTGTATAATAATATAAATTAAGAAATCATTTTATTTTATGTGTTACAGATTTTTCGAGTAGCGAACAACAACTTCAGTTACGAAGATATAATAAATACACGCACATGTTTGAGGCTGTGATTATTTTATTTTAAGTTTGAATAATCGAATAGTTCGGAACTGTAATTTTTTTTTAAAGATTATTTAATGATCGATATATCAATGTATCGAGAGAGATACTCTAGTGCTTTCATTAATTGGAAAAGTTAAGGATGGTTTAAGTTTGAAAAACGACAAACTTATTGAAATTTTTTGTCATTAAAAAGCAACTGAAAAAGTAAAACAATTGTGAAAAAATTTTTAATTCTCTTAGTTTTTTAATATATAGGGTGTCTCAATAAAATCAGGACACTTGAATACTTTGGAAAATATAAGTTTTACAGAAAAGTGTTTCAGATAAAAGTTGTAGGGTTCAAAAGGATCTATTTAGTGATCTTATTAATTTGACCTTGGATGGCGTCGCCAAGGTTAGGTTAAGGTCACATCGACTTTTTTAAATAGCACATTCTATTTTTGATTCCATAATCTAATAGCTGATGTCAAGAGCTTTTCGAAATACTACAACAAAGTTATTTTTCATAATTTTTTAAGTTATTTTTTGAGTATTTTTTTGAGTTATGAGGTTTAAAAGTTACAGTACCGTCGGCATTAGCATTACGCAAGGTGTTCGACCAATGGCTTAAATGTTGTTCAGGATCATGTCCTGGATAACATTCGTTTAAGATCACTGGAGATTGTTCCTCTTATTTTCATTTTTGTATTGAAAATTTATTTTTATGTAAAATTGAAAATAATACTAATACCGACGATATTGTAACTTTCAAGTCTTATAACTCGAAAAGTACTTTATGAAAAATAACTATATTGTAGGTAATCCGTATAACAAATCAAACTAACCAAGACTCCTTATAAATCAAAGAATTGGAAAGAATAAGGGTGCTAGGAGTCAGGCGCAGAAGACATCGCGCAAATAATACACCTATGAAGAGTGAACATTTTTTATTCACTAAACGCACTTACATGTTTCGGCTCACTTTTGAGTCTTCTTCAGAGCAAACATAAACGGAACATGTAAGCGCGTTTAGTGAATAAAGAATTTTCACGCTTCATAAGTGTGTTATCCTAGCGCCCTTATTCTTTTCAATTCTTATATTGTAGTATTTTGAAAAGTTTTTGGCTATTAGATTTTGGAATCAAAAATAGGGTGTGCTATTAAAAAAAATTAACGTAAACTTGACCAGACCTTGGTGACGCCACTTAAGGTCAAATTGATAAGATCAGGAAATAGATTTTTTGGAACCTTACAACTTTTGTCTGAAATACTTTTCTTAAAAAACTTATTTTCTGACATATTTAAGTGTCCCGATTTTTTTGGGACACCGTGTATGTATACATATACTTACATATACATATATGTGTATATATACATACATACATATATACATATTATATGTACAAATATAAACCATAAGCTCCAGTGTAGCAAAAAGAGGAAACAAAAACGTCTAGAAACGGAAATGTCAAGAAAACATTTAATATTACGGGATCTGTCACGTTTTTCAATTTAATAAGTGACAATGTAACAGTACGATGCAATGAAGGGTCGGAGGTTGTTACGGAGAATGTCGTCCTGGCAGCCTCATCCAGGTTAAAAGGTACAATAAATCTATTGACGACAACTACGAAGAGAGCGACGACGATAACTCCCAGTATGGATACCAGTGCCGATTCGAATATGGACACTGATAACAGTGGTTCTACTTCTACAGGCATCGGTATCATTGCCTCTGTCAACACTACATCCTTGACATTGGTTAAGGCCGAGAAACCAGATCATCTGGTAGGGACATCGACGTCATCTACTGTAACTACTGGACCAATTGTCACCGGAAGTAATCTTTTTACCGGTGTTGCTAACAGCAATAAAATATCTAGATCGGACGATTGGCTAGCAGCGGACAGTCCGGAATCGCCGCAGAATTCTTTACCAAGTCAGAACGTGGTTTACTCTACTTCCCAGCAGCAATTATCGGAACAACAGCAATCTCCTATGGCCCATTCCAGTCCGCTCGCACATCAACAACAGCAAGTTAGCAATAATGGATACGCGAGTCCTATGAGTACCAGCAGTTACGATCCATATAGCCCCAACGGTAAAATAGGTAAGTATCATTGTTTTAATAAAATTTGCAGATTATAAAAAATATTTTCAGAGATACAAGAATACGGCATAGGTTTAGGAGATATAGTAAATTAAAGTTTCATAATGTGTAGAGGATAACATGGTATAAGAAGTATATCACGAATAGTGAAATTTATATATGCTATACTAATCTCTTAAAGAATGTAAACAAAGTTAGAGAGAGAGAGAGAAAATTATGGAAAGTCGCAGGTATTTTGTGAACAGTCGATATAGTTCTCGCAGTTCGTTAACAGCTTTCAATATGCGATTGTACGAATTTTTAAGTCTTATTAAGATAAGAATAAGTGATAAAAAGTCCTCGTTCCGTGTTATAAAGTGTATAGGTGGCAGCAGTTTATGCCACCCCTCGCAGGGGCGTACTGCCTCCACGCATACATTTTTTAACGCGAAACAAAGTCCACCTCTCCTCTCTGCCTAGGAGCATAGGACTTGTTACGCGTTTAAAAATAAAACTGTCTTATTCATTTTTGAAACAGAATTTTTTCCAAAAAAAATTACGAGCTCTCCCTTAAAACACATGGTCTTTTTATAATTAGTTTTATATGTAAAGATTATGTATTTCACGGGTTTCCTCCGTGTCCAGATCCATTCTTGGAATGCCAACATTTCGTGAACCTTGCAGTCCACTTTATCAGGGCGAGGAGCAGCCTGATACTATATCAGGTATCAGGCTGCTCTTCAGCCTGGACTGCAAGGTTCACGAAACGTTGGCATTTCAAGAATTAACAAGAAACTTTGTTATAAGGGCCAATAGTTGATTCTTATTGCAAGACCGTCTTAAGTAATGTCTTAAGACGCTAATGCAGCCCTCTGATTGGGTCGTGACTTCTTAAGACTATACTTAAGATGGTCTTGAATATAAAATCTGACTATGAATACCGGCCATAATTATGGCGCGGTCCCATGGAATACCGGCCATAATTATGGCGGAATTAGCGGAACGTTCGTGATTGGTCGTGGCTTCATTCCGCCGTTTTCCGTTGCGCAAATTTATTTTATGGATTCCGCTGATGCATGCGTGTGTGCGTGTACATACATGTATTTATAAAAAATTACCTCGTTAATCCGATTTAAACGGAGAAAAATGTCTTCTATACAAGCGCATGGTTAATCAACATGCTGAGACGTGTCGGATTTCCATCTGAGTGTTCTCCGGGTGTCATGTCATCCTTATTTAACGTTCGATAAATAACAAGAATGGAGTGATATCTGGGTGGCACTCGGATGATAATCTGAACATAACCCTGAAGGTAATTAATTAAGTCTCCAGATAAATATAGAGGTAACCAGATCAATATGGTTAGAATACGAATGTATAAATAGTATACAGAAAGGCAAAAATGTAAATCAAAATCAAAATGGGTACACAAAACGAAGTCGACAATGTCCCTATCATGTATGATTTCCGATTTGCAGGAATTCATTTTCCTATGTCCCATTGAGCGGAACTTGCGGATGCGCAATCAATGCGAGCCAATGACAAACGCTATTCTGGTAGATCTAACGAAAGTAATCTACGGAAAGACTCTTACGATTGGTCAGAGCTAATTACTCATTCCGCAAATTCCGTTCAATAAGACATAGGAAAACACATATTAGCGGAACGGAATCGGTGGAATGAAGCCACGACCAATTACGAACGTTCTGCCAATTTCGCATTGCGCCAATTCTGCACCGTGGGATCGCGCCATAACAATTATGCATACATTTCAATAATTACCCAAGTAGCAAGATGTCATTATGATGACGATTTAAGGTAATTTTTCGTCATTTGACGTCAGTGGACTAAATAATGATATAAAAAGAACGTAACACATTCATGACGATATATTATCGTTATAAATATACCGTCATTTTATCGTCATTTTTAGGTCATATTTAATGAATAATCAATAAATATAATGTGTGCAATAACCCAATATTTGGAGTGACGCCCGTTCGATCACTTTGCGTTTGACCACTAGCCACTCACAACGCTTGTATAATTGCACGCGAAATACACTGCCAGTACTAAAAATCTATAGTATACGTAACATGCACTACAGATTTTCAGTACTAGGTCACGTGGTCAAAATTGGCGAATATCAAGCGTCAATTTTGATTACGTGGCCTGTTTTGAAATGTGGCTAAAAATGAGCCGCGCGTTAACATAAAGCCTGTTACACAATACGTCATATATGTCGGTGTCGTGAGCAGTATGCCGTAAGAATGAACCTATCACAGTCGAGTATTCTCCTCACTTTCGACTTGATTAAGGCCCGTCTACAATACACGGAGTAAGAAGTAAGAGTAAGAAATTGACCAATCACAGTCGAATGTGAGAAGAATAATCGACTGTGATTGGTCAATTTCTTACTCTTACTTCTTACTCCGTGTATTGTAGACGGGCCTTTAGTCAATTCTTACAACTACAACCACTTACAACTACATTTAGAAAACAACACGGTGAGAACATGTATGCGGAATCCACGTAAAATTCACGTGTTTTATGTGGACTACGTGGATTAAAAATTTATTCACATAATATTCACGTGAATGCGACATTGACATTTCGTTGCCAAATCAAAATAAATTTTCCTCAAAATTTCAACGTGGATTCTATAGACGTTTCCATATAGATTTTAGTACGTATAATTCACGTGGAATTACTGATGATATTTAACGGGAATAAAAATAGGAAATAGTAATGTGAAATTCACGTGGATAAATTTACATCGATTTTGACTCTGCAAGAGTCAAAATATCATGCGCACTATGCATGCAACGGAATGTAGCCCAAATATACTTCCACCATGGAGAATAGAGAGCAAGAGACCGAACTAGACTTTAAAAAGTGTGGTCAAAATCAGATTTCTGAATTGGTATTGGTAGTGCTCGGTAGGTGGCGTTCGAATCACAACTCCTCTGATAACGCTTAAGGCCCAGACACAAGCTTTTGCATAACGCATAGTGCATAAGCGAATCAACCAATCGAAATTCTTCTTTATTATGGAATGAGAGGAAAGGAAAGCTTCTGATTAGTTGATTCGCTTATGCACTATGCGTTATGTGTTATGCGAAAGTCTGCGCTGCGGCCATAAGCCTGTCACGGTCGCGGCGAGCACGTGAAAGTAGCAAGTGTTTATCACATCATAAATGTAATCATACTTTAAAAATAAGGTGGGCAGTGAAAGACTATAAAAACTATTTTAGGAAAACGAAAAATCTTATTTGAAATTGTGAAATATTTTTCACTTCCAAAAGACGAAGCTGTTTGCATGAAGTGATGTGAAATTAGTACAAATCAAGATATTTCCGTTACCAAAGGTAAGGAAATAATACACAATCAAGTCGGTGTTATATATAACAATGGCAAATTTAGTATCTTTGAGATGTGCAAAAAATTGCTCCTTCCCATCATTATACACACACTTTGTATATTCTTAATATAAATAGTATAAGAAAATGACAATAAATTTTGTTTCTTAATTTATTTATGAATAGTTTCATGCTCATTGTTGCTTCTTATTGTATTTCACAGTTTAAACAAATTACCCCAAAAAGCATAATTTTTAATAATAAGAAAAATAATTATTTTGTATAATCTAATAATCTATACGCTGTACAGATTTATAGGTTATAAAGTTATGTTGTAAAAGTTAATTTCGACGAATTGCAAGTGTGAATGTGCCCTTTTTCTTAATAGGAATAAAAATTCGAAAATATTTAATAATCTGATGGACCATAACTTAAATATACATTATTTTATTTAGGATGAATATGTTCAATACATTTTGAACCATCATGCTTTAAAACATCTTTTCGATTGCAACTGCCGGGGTACTCTTTGAAAAGTTCATAAACCGAACAATAATGCAGTTCCCATGTTGCATTTATTTAATGACTCACATGTGAAAAATACACAATGGCCTAATTACTTTGATGAAGGAGGGATTACATCACTGATAGCAAATGCGTTTAAAGTAATGACAAATGTGTCAATTGTTAATACCAATATGCCTGGAGAAGTGTTGAATGCATCTATACACATCAATGTTATTCCACAAGAAGTGGTGCATTCAACTGCAGTTGTAGCAAATATGTCAGTGGATTGTGTCGGTACAGTTATTCAAGAAGTGTCGAATGTTTCAATACATATGAAAATTGCATCGGAAGAAATGATTCCTTCATATACAGTTATAGAAAATGTGTCAATGAATTTTGCTGATGTGTCTAAAAAAATGTCGACTGCGTCAACACACATCGATGTCACATCAAAAGAAATTGTAGATGCATCAAAGAGTATTATGGATGTATGTAATGTGGACAATACCGTGCATGTAACACCAACTGTATCATCTATAACAAATCTCCATAGCTCAAGTAAAGGCGTTGATTCCATGTAAGTAATACTTTATCTAGATCATCCTAATGTTCAAATATGAATATAACTATGAAATTTTACTCGTGTTTTTAAATTTTGTTATCTACAGATTCTTTTGTAAAAAAAAACAATATCGTAATAATTATTATAAAAGAAGAATGATTATTAGAGAATAATAGTATATTGTCATTTTAGAGTTTGAAACAGACCTTTTTTTGTAATGTAAATAAATATAAAAATATATATTATAATAAAATATAAATTATAATTTTGAAAAATGTAAAGAAATATAAAAATATATATTATAATAAAATATAAATTATAATTTTGAAAAATGTAAAGAAATATAAAAATATATATTATAATAAAATATAAATTATAATTTTGAAAAATGTAAAGAAATATAAAAATATATATTATAATAAAATATAAATTATAATTTTGAAAAATGTAAAGAAATATAAAAATATATATTATAATAAAATATAAATTATAATTTTGAAAAATGTAAAGAAATATAAAAATATATATTATAATAAAATATAAATTATAATTTTGAAAAATGTAAAGAAATATAAAAATATATATTATAATAAAATATAAATTATAATTTTGAAAAATGTAAAGAAATATAAAAATATATATTATAATAAAATATAAATTATAATTTTGAAAAATGTAAAGAAATATAAAAATATATATTATAATAAAATATAAATTATAATTTTGAAAAATGTAAAGAAATATAAAAATATATATTATAATAAAATATAAATTATAATTTTGAAAAATGTAAAGAAATATAAAAATATATATTATAATAAAATATAAATTATAATTTTGAAAAATGTAAAGAAATATAAAAATATATATTATAATAAAATATAAATTATAATTTTGAAAAATGTAAAGAAATATAAAAATATATATTATAATAAAATATAAATTATAATTTTGAAAAATGTAAAGAAATATAAAAATATATATTATAATAAAATATAAATTATAATTTTGAAAAATGTAAAGAAATATAAAAATATATATTATAATAAAATATAAATTATAATTTTGAAAAATGTAAAGAAATATAAAAATATATATTATAATAAAATATAAATTATAATTTTGAAAAATGTAAAGAAATATAAAAATATATATTATAATAAAATATAAATTATAATTTTGAAAAATGTAAAGAAATATAAAAATATATATTATAATAAAATATAAATTATAATTTTGAAAAATGTAAAGAAATATAAAAATATATATTATAATAAAATATAAATTATAATTTTGAAAAATGTAAAGAAATATAAAAATATATATTATAATAAAATATAAATTATAATTTTGAAAAATGTAAAGAAATATAAAAATATATATTATAATAAAATATAAATTATAATTTTGAAAAATGTAAAGAAATATAAAAATATATATTATAATAAAATATAAATTATAATTTTGAAAAATGTAAAGAAATATAAAAATATATATTATAATAAAATATAAATTATAATTTTGAAAAATGTAAAGAAATATAAAAATATATATTATAATAAAATATAAATTATAATTTTGAAAAATGTAAAGAAATATAAAAATATATATTATAATAAAATATAAATTATAATTTTGAAAAATGTAAAGAAATATAAAAATATATATTATAATAAAATATAAATTATAATTTTGAAAAATGTAAAGAAATATAAAAATATATATTATAATAAAATATAAATTATAATTTTGAAAAATGTAAAGAAATATAAAAATATATATTATAATAAAATATAAATTATAATTTTGAAAAATGTAAAGAAATATAAAAATATATATTATAATAAAATATAAATTATAATTTTGAAAAATGTAAAGAAATATAAAAATATATATTATAATAAAATATAAATTATAATTTTGAAAAATGTAAAGAAATATAAAAATATATATTATAATAAAATATAAATTATAATTTTGAAAAATGTAAAGAAATATAAAAATATATATTATAATAAAATATAAATTATAATTTTGAAAAATGTAAAGAAATATAAAAATATATATTATAATAAAATATAAATTATAATTTTGAAAAATGTAAAGAAATATAAAAATATATATTATAATAAAATATAAATTATAATTTTGAAAAATGTAAAGAAATATAAAAATATATATTATAATAAAATATAAATTATAATTTTGAAAAATGTAAAGAAATATAAAAATATATATTATAATAAAATATAAATTATAATTTTGAAAAATGTAAAGAAATATAAAAATATATATTATAATAAAATATAAATTATAATTTTGAAAAATGTAAAGAAATATAAAAATATATATTATAATAAAATATAAATTATAATTTTGAAAAATGTAAAGAAATATAAAAATATATATTATAATAAAATATAAATTATAATTTTGAAAAATGTAAAGAAATATAAAAATATATATTATAATAAAATATAAATTATAATTTTGAAAAATGTAAAGAAATATAAAAATATATATTATAATAAAATATAAATTATAATTTTGAAAAATGTAAAGAAATATAAAAATATATATTATAATAAAATATAAATTATAATTTTGAAAAATGTAAAGAAATATAAAAATATATATTATAATAAAATATAAATTATAATTTTGAAAAATGTAAAGAAATATAAAAATATATATTATAATAAAATATAAATTATAATTTTGAAAAATGTAAAGAAATATAAAAATATATATTATAATAAAATATAAATTATAATTTTGAAAAATGTAAAGAAATATAAAAATATATATTATAATAAAATATAAATTATAATTTTGAAAAATGTAAAGAAATATAAAAATATATATTATAATAAAATATAAATTATAATTTTGAAAAATGTAAAGAAATATAAAAATATATATTATAATAAAATATAAATTATAATTTTGAAAAATGTAAAGAAATATAAAAATATATATTATAATAAAATATAAATTATAATTTTGAAAAATGTAAAGAAATATAAAAATATATATTATAATAAAATATAAATTATAATTTTGAAAAATGTAAAGAAATATAAAAATATATATTATAATAAAATATAAATTATAATTTTGAAAAATGTAAAGAAATATAAAAATATATATTATAATAAAATATGAATATAAAAAAGTAAGGACCTTTTGTCCAATTATTCTTTTCCTTCATTGTTTGACAATGTTTATTAATTTTTGCAGCATTGTATTAGTTTTATATATATATATATTTTTTTATATATGATTGCAGAATATCATTTTTATTGCATGTTTTCAGAAAAAACTTGCAACAAGAATTGGAAGCCTTGAAGAAGAAACTTGCAAAATTCAAACTACAAGAGAAATTGAATAGATCGGTGAAGTTACATTTATATTATTACTCCAGTATTTACTGAATTTGCATTTATGTATTTTATTTGCTTTACGTTTTCAGTGAGAATCTTAAATTGCAAGTGGTTGCAGTGAAGAAAAAAATTGAAGCAGCAAGAACAAAATTCATCTTGGTACATTGAAATGTGCGAAGTCAAAATGCACACAAATCTTTAGGTAAAGTTTTCGGGTCAAATACGAATATTATTGAATCTTAACGTGACACACATAAACTGGTCTTCAGAAGATATAGCGAACGCTATGTCTTTACGATGCATCAGTCCCAAAGCTTACCGGTACATGAGAAGTGTTATGAAAATGTTTCTCCCTGTTTTTTCAATGCTAAGAAAGTGGGCATGTAGTATCAACATAAATCCTGGCATGTTAAATACAATCCTTATCTGCATGAAATGTAAAGGAAAAAGCATGTAAACGCATGAAAATTGGTTATACTCACATTTGATGAAATCTACTTATACAATAAAATTGTTATCGATCGAAAACTGCAGAAAGTTGTTGGATCACACAAGTTGTGCCAGTGTGTAATGGTCCGTAGTATATTTTCTAATTGAAAACAACCGATTACTATAATTATGATACGGCAATGACCAGAAATACATCTTTGTGCATTATTTCATGATTGTATAATATAGGTTACACTGTTGCTGACATGATGTGCAATATGGATTCAACCAAAGAGAATTATAGCGTTTTTGGCCCGATCGGGTTTGCACCAACCTTGGTTGGATTAATCTTTCCTATTGGTTGACGTCACCCGCTTTACCAATAGGAGAGCAAAACGCCATTAATCCAACCCAGGTTGGTGCAAACCTGGCCGGGCCGAAAACGCTATTAGATAGAGCGGAAGGTTCGTATATCATGACGAGAGTCATCTGTCGAGTTCGATGCATGGTGGAATCAGAAAGGTGAAGCATTCCGAAGGATGCGCTGTAGACAATAAAAAGCGATAGAGTTCAATTGATAGAAAATACAGTAAAATGCAATACCGATAGAGTTTGATTGGTCAAAATTCGTCCATCTCCACTCTATCATGCGCAATGCTTCACCTTTCTGATTCCATCATGGTCCGATGCACAATTACGTTCCTAATTTCATTTTTATTTTATATAGACAGAACGGAATATTAGTTGTAATAAAGTATTCGTGACCATGCAGCTTTAGAGAGAGGTATGAAAATGAAAGATACCGAGTTCGAATTCCGTTTATCTTTATTAATTTTTTCGTCGCTATTATTATTGATAAATGCAGCATCAGACTCACAAAATAGCATTGATAGCAGTATACGCGAAAATATATTACGATCTTATAAGGACCTTCCACTCTATCTAATCTTCTTTAGGTTCAACGAACCTGTACATCGTGCTGTAGTCTGAATTGAAAATTAGAGTTGCTCCCAAAAACAATTGAGGAGCAGATTTCCAAAATGCATTTTGTCCAAAATTTGAGTTTTTTTTAGTTAAAGGTGACATAGTGTTCAGTGTTGATAGACTCATATTTTAAGTTACTTTACGATGTTTTAAAAGTATTTCTATACCATCAATTTTATGTGCTGAAAAAAACCTTTACATCCAAAGTGCATTATGTCCTGTAACTAGAGATAAACAAAATGTATTTGTTTAAATTTTTAGCAATTGTTTAACAATTTTGTTGAACATTATCACGTTTTATTGATTGGCAAATTGTTATTTTTTGTAAGGCATACAGTTTTCTTGTGACTTTCTTTCTCGTTTTCTGAAAATTATAAATTTTTGATAAAACGCATTTTGAAAATTTGCTCCTTAATTATTTTCAGCACTCTCTCGACGAAAAGTTAAAGGTTTCTATGTTTGCACACAGATATGCCGCACTTGCTCGAGTTAGCAAGAAATCACTTTATTGATAATGGATTCGGTGTGTGGGGGCATCATATGGACAAGAAATATATCGAATGAATCTTAAGTATTTGTGCAAAAGATATAAAAGTTTTTTACAACATTTTCCATTATCACCTTCACGTCCAAAGCTATGAAAGACAAGAAGTTCTACGATTTCTTATACACTGGGCAACAAAATTAACGCAACACCTGTTTTACTCTGCAAAAATAGGCAAACTTCAAGATAGAATAACTTCGTCAAAAATCGTCGTATCCAGATGTTTAAAAAAGCATTTTACAGCTTGAAACCTTTACTTTTCAGATCGCTACTTTAAAAACGGTCTCATGGAGATTTTATGAAGTTACACAAACATAAATGAAGATATATCAGATCTCAAAATTTTTTACGAAATTTGCAGAGAAATTTCCACGGAGTGGACTAAAAATTGTACACAAATGCGATTTACATCATTCGAAAGAGCGAATCTTTATCTTTAATATGCTTTTTTTACAAAGCTCTACGATTTTTTTTCGCTGAGTTATTCAACGTTGAAGCAAAATGGTCATTTTTGCTTACATCTATTTTATGAAACTATCGATAAAATCGTAGTGTCAAAAATGGATATGATTCATATATATGCTAATGAGAACTATCAGGATTGGCTTTTATTAGCACAAATACGCATCACATCTGTTGCGCTATTGCTGGTATAAGTGTTGCACCACCGATGAGATACTCTATTAACCTTCTGTTTTCATTTCATATATACATTTTTTTTACCCAACGCGCTTGTTGGAATGAGTAGGAGCATATTGGAGCGACGTGAACAAATCTTTAGTGATCGATGGAAAATTTTCTTAATTATTCACGTCTGACAAAAAACAATTATCTTTTAGAACTTCTTTTTAAAAAATACCGCCCTCCTAAACTCACCGCCCCTAGGCACAAAATCTGTTTTTTATTGCTTAAGGCTCCTGAGTAGTCGCGGCGGCCATGTTGGAATCGTGACGTCAAAAGCGAGGAATGACACGTTAATTTATGCTGCAAGCCATTTGTAAATAAAGACAATTTGGATAAATCTAAATGACGAGATTGCTTTAAAATACCTGTAAAAATGGGCAGAAACTTTCCTTTTTTCCCTTAATAGTCAGTAAATGGTCGTAAAAGGCAGGTAAAGTGAGCCTAATTTCGGGCAGAAATACACGGTTCGAACAGCTGTTGAAATGAATAAGATATACGCTTTTACATATAAAATTCCAGAATAACGATAGTTTCTGCCCATTTTTAGGACTTTTATAAGTACGAGATATGTCACATTTTCATAATTAAGCAAATAATAACGAAATAGCATGCGGCACAAATTTCGTCGTCAAAACGTCACTTTTCCACGCCTATAAGTTCAGCCATTTATCGTGGCGTTGTGACACACACACACACAAACATGAGTCCATGTACATGTGCTCGTTTTCGGCGCGCCGAGAGCACATGTACATGGGCTCGTGCTTGTGTGTGTGGCTACCGATTTCGCCACATTTCGCCAGGCCGCCGACTGATTTTGAATCGCATACTGACTACTCAGGAGCCTTAATACACGATTTTATGTACATATATTACGATTATAATATAGGTAAATAAAATGATTTACGAAAATTAGTGTACTTTTACTTCCTAATTTTTAACATTATATATTTTTGTACTAAGCCTTAAACTAAATTTAAAAAAATAAAATATATTTGAAAAATTGAAAGTGTAATGTTTTAATTCATTTATTTCTATGAAATTTAGTTTTCAGATATATTTTTAATTGCTTATGACTATATACCAGTATACATTATGTAAAAGAAACATTAACTTAAAGTTAACTAAAGAATTAACAGTTCAAAGGAAGCATATTTTATGAGGAACACTGTACACACACGTAAAACAGAGTAAAACTCTATAATTTAAATTCCGATTATGGTATATTAGTTAAAACAAAAGATTATAAGAATCAAGTAAAACACATTATAAATTAATTATATTGTTCAACAATCAAAAAATGCACAAGAATGAAGCATTTCTAATAATTTTTGAGCTAATACGATTTTCCGCTTACCAATTATTGTCCTAAATGTAATAATTTTGAGAAATTTGTCGTTAAAATTGGAAAAGGGGCTATTTTAGTGTATTTGGTATACCTATTACAACCACTATAATATGTGACATGTTTTATTACAATCGAAGTTAAATGTTATTAGAATTTCATATTTTAAAAGGAATTTGTTGTGTTATCAATTATGATTAAAAAAATAATTGTGCGACTAATAGAGACTATTGCGTTAAAGTTACGACTTACATATGCTATTAAGAATTTATCAAATATTTTTAAAATTATGTTATTTTTACTTGAAGATTTCTTAGTGAATACTAATCTTATGTCAAAGGTAATACACTCACCCGCAAAAAAAGCAGTACACTGAAAAATTAGGAAAAATTTATCAAATTTCAAATGATCATAACTTGGTAAATAATGAAGATAAAAATATGTTTAAAAATGTAAAATGAAGTTTAAAGTGTCCATTTTAAGAATATTTGAATGATATTTATACTGAGCCATTATTATCAAAATGTCATGACAAAGTGAGAAGATGAAAAGTTGATAATCGAAGGTCCGTGATTGTCATGATGCATGGCGTAAATCAGGTATGGCAGCCTAATGGGACAAAATGCACGTAAAAGTATGGAACTTTATCTTTAAAATGTTTTTTTACGGACTTCGATACGATCATTTTTCACTGAGTTATTCCAAATTTAAGGTACTGTTGTCATTAGCTCAAAAGTTATGGTTGTAATTCATCTCAATATGAACTGTAGAGTTTGACGGATCGGAATTGAACCTCATTCGTATCGAATTCCGTAAAAAAGCATTTTAAAGATAAAATTCTTACTTTCATATGTATTTTGTCCCATTAGGCTATCATATCTGATTTACTCCATGCATCATGACAATCACGGACCTTCAACTTTTCATCTTCTCACTTTGTCATCTGATATTTTGGTAATAACGGCCCAGTATAAATCTCATTCAAATATTCTTAAAGTGGACATTTCAAGCTTCATTTTGCATTTTTAAACATATTTTTATCTTCATTATTCACCAAGTTATGATCATTGAAATTTGGTAAATTTTTCCTAATTTTTCAGTGTACCGTTTTTTTTTTGCAGATGAATTTATATTAGAAATGATGGAATCAATATAATAAATATATCATAATAAATGTTCGAATTTTTAAAATAATTTATGTATAGGAGCTTTTTTATACAATTTAAATTGAATTTATTAACTTTGACGTCAGATTAGTATTTAGCGTTCTGGAAAGATCTTAATTTTAAAAAACATTTAATGGATTCCTAATAGCATATATGTATGTCGTAATTTTGATGCGATAGAATGTATATTATAGTATAGTTATAAATATTTTTTTTAATCGTCATCGATACAACAAATTTCTTTTAAGGACTACAAGTTCTAAAACATACTTATTTGATTACAATAAAATTTCTCCAATATATATCGTTGTTATGATGTGCAAGTATACATATACTAAAATTGTTTTCTTTCAATATTTTAATCTAATTTTTCAAAATTATGACATAAATAATTTAATAAAATAATATTTAATTTAATGAAATAATATTCAATACCCAAAAAACAGAAAACAATTATTTTCATTTTTATGCTTGAAAAAAATTGTTGAGCAATGTCATTGTACTCTTGAATAGATAAAAATATTTAAACAGTTTTGTCGCATTCTTATATTACATATTGGAAATTTCGGATGCAGTATTTCTGAAATGCTGGTTAATATGGCACAGTTTGTCCAGGCTTGCCTGGGTATAGCGAGGGTTGCCCTCCTTTCTCTGACCATGACCCACCCCGATAGTTCCCAGCTAAATAGTAGCTCTCAGCCCCGTTTTAATACCCCTCATATTCGTAACTCTATCCCGACATGTGCAATGCGTTCTTGCGTCCATCATATGCGCCTGTGCATATGTAAAATATCTCGTATTCACTCGTTAATTTAATATAGTATGTAACAAGTAAATGAGGTCATGTAGTAAATTATTTTTACCCGCAGATCGCTAGGAAGTTTTTTTTATTAGACATTTTGCTTTTTTAGATATCATCTTGTATGTGATTGATTATTGGATCCAAGCAAGCCTCGGTAAAATAACTGATACAACTTATTTAAAATAAAAAATATAAAATAAGTTTCAGGAACTTATTTAAAATATAAAATTGTACGAATCGGTAAAATAACTGATACGACTTATTTGAAATAGAAATATAAAACAGGTTTCGAGAACTTATTTAAAATATTAAATAAGAAATAGGTCACAAGAAATTATTTAAAATATAAAGTAAGAAATAGGACTTGAAAATGCATATTTTTTATTTAAAATATAGAATAATTTTTATTTAAAATAAGAAAAATAACTTGTCTTTTATTTTAAATAAGTTTTCAAAGGCGATTTCTTATTTCAAATAATAAATTGATTTCTAAAATTTACTTAAAATATAAAATAAGAAATATGTACTTTAAATAAACATTTCAAACAGTGAATATAAAATATTTTAATGATTTTTTGTTTATTTGAATATATGAATATACATTTATAAGTATAACGTATCAGTTTTTTTATAACTATAGCCTATAATTAATATTTAATAGTATTAACCATTCGCTAACCACAGGTGGAAAATTGAAACATGGATCATATACCCCACACATGTTATACTTGATCATAAATAGACTATAATTTAACTACTTACCGTCACTTTTACTGACGGATTGATAACATAACTGATACAATTTATTTAAAGTAAAAAACATTAAATAAGTTTATTTAAAATATTAAATAAGAAATAGGTCAGAAGAAGTTGTTTAAAATAATAAATAATAAATAACGTTTACATTTTCTTAAAATGAAGTTTTTTAAAAAAATATTTTCTCTGTACGAATACTTTTTGCACTCACTGTACATATTTCTTATTTTATATTTTAAGTAAGTTTTCGAAATCAATTTCTTATTTAAAATAAGAAATCGCCTTTGAAAACTTATTTAAAATAAAAGACAAGTTATTTTTCTTATTTTAAATAAAAATATTCTATATTTTAATTAAATAAATGCATTTTCCGGTCCTATTTCTTATTTTATATTTTAAATAATTTGTTTTGTGTTCCTATTTCTTATTTTATATTTTAAATTATTTGTTTTGTGGCCTATTTCTTATTTAATATTTTAAATAAGTTCTCGGAACCTATTTTATATTTTTTATTTCAAATAAAAAATATCGTATCAGTTACTTTACCGACTCGTACGATTTTATATTT